AAAATGCTTACTTGCGTTGTCTAATGACTGAGATGCGCAGTGTAGGCCATAAAAACGCAAAGAGCTACCATTTCACAATTTTTTAATAGAACTAGGAGTAAAAACATCAAACACAATCATTACCCTCATAATGGATTAAAAAAGCTGAATAGGCATAATAAAGCTTATGCAACAGTTCGCCAGAGAGCCGGGAAAGATTACTATCAAGCTATAACTAACTGACAAAGGAAGCGAACGCTCGATTTTTCGTGACAGGACGTTTAAAAGCTCGAAACAACCTCTCGCTGGGAAACCCTGACTATTCCAACAACAGCACAAAGGCAAGCACTCGTATATTTTCCAAGGAAGACAAATTTCACTCGCCTTACGGGCTCGTGCAATTTTGTTAGCCTTTGAACAGTTCACTCGTGCTAATTGATCCCAAATTTTACTCGAAATCTTGTGATTTCTCAATGAAAATCTATAATTTATACAATTATTAAGTGATAAATGCATTTTAAGAACAACAAAAAGATAATGCGTTTACAGCGTTTAAGCGTTCTCTATTGCATTGTATTTGTCTACCCTGTGCCTTTGAACTTTCGTATATCTTTTCCAAAACTAGAACTATTACTCAATCTCTTCTCTATCACAAAAAATGTAGATATGACGGGTTTTTTCGAAAATATACATTAGACGGTTCTCACCGGCGTCTGTGACGTGACTTTCACTTAGATTAATAGAGGACTTTACATGCTGCTGTTTGTGATGCTTGACGTAGACTGGCAACACCGGCATCGGTGATCTGATTACCAACCAGTTCAAGGTCGGTGACTTTACATGTTGGTGTCTGTAATGCTTGACATAGACTGGCAACACCGGCATCGGTGATCTGATTATCTTCCAGACCAAGGTCGGTGACTTTACATGTTGGTGTCTGTAATGCTTGACATAGACTGGCAACACCGTAATCGGTGATCTGAATATCAGCCAGACCTAATCCGGTAACTTTACATGTTAGTGTCTGTAATGCTTGACATAGACTGGAAACACCGGCATCGGTGATCTGATTTTTATTCAGGGAAAGGTTTGTGACTTTACATGTTGGTGTCTGTAATGCTTCACATAGACTGGCAACACCGGCATCGGTGATCTGATTATCTTCCAGACTAAGGTCGGTGACTTTACATGTTGGTGTCTGTAATGCTTGACATAGACTGGCAACACCGGTATCGGTGATCTGATTAGAATCCAGATGAAGTGTGGTGACTCTACATGTTGGTGTCTGTAATGCTTGACATAGACTGGCAACACCGGCATTGGTGATCTGGTTATCTCCCAGATTAACCATGGTGACTTTACATGTTGGTGTCTGTAATGCTTGACATAGACTAACAACACCGGTATCAGTGACCTGATTATCTTTCAGATTAAGATCGGTGACTTTACATGTTGGTGTCTGCAATGCTTGACATAGACTGGCAACACCGGCATCGGTAATCTGATTTTCATTCAGAAAAAGGGTTGTGACTTTACATGTTGGTGTCTGTAATGCTTCACATAGACTGGCAACACCGGCATCGGTGATCTGATTACAACCTAGATAAAGTGTGCTGACTTTACATGTTGGTGTCTGTAATGCTTGACTTAGACTGGCAACACCGGCATCGGTGATCTGATTAGCAGCCAGACTAAGTAAGGTGACTTCACATGATGGTGCAAGTAATGCTTGACATAGACTGGCAACACCGGCATCGGTGATCTGATTAGCACTCAGATTAAGTTTGGTGACTTCACACGTTGGTGTCTGTAATGCTTGACATAGACTGGCAACACCGG